TGCCATCTGATGTGGATTGCTTAAAATTCTATTAACCAAAACACTGAGAAAAAACGTGTTATCGTTGAAATGTAACAGTTTTTTGACAGGTGATCAACACTTTCAAGAAATGGATTAACCAAGAACGTCACATGACTAGTCGCTAGTATTTGTTATGTTATATGAAAGAAAGTCAAGTTAAATATTGAAATCGAAGTGAAAGTTTTTCTTTATTTAGATAGCATTATTTACGGTAATTTATTACATTGTTTTTACATTTTCTAACATCTAATAAAGCTCTCATTTGACGGTAACTTTTGGTAAAGTTATTGCCCTGTTTAGCTGTACAGTATGTTGAAGTGTCGTTAAACTTAAACCAAAATAATTTAAACGGCAATTTAGAACAAATCTAGAAACCAAAGAGCCAATGAGAAGCTAAGGCAGATATATGTCAGCAAACTTAAGTACATGCGCCGACGAACGCGGCATTAAGGAGTCGTGCATGTTCTAATTTCAATCAATCGCTTCCAGGTTCCATGCGGTGGATAAAATAGATTCTCGCGCTGTGATTAGTCGCGGTTTGCATTATATCTCGTGAGGTGATTATAGTAGGGGTGATAAAATAGCTGCTTTGCATTTTGTCAAAATTACCGAGGAAGTGATAAACACGATAGAAGAAATTCAATTTCGAAGAGCACAGAATCCAACAGGTTTTGTGGAACACTTTTCAAAAGTAAGATAAGAAGTTTTTGCTGATTAGATTGATTATGGAAACTGGTTGTTTATCTCGATACGAGTGATCAAAAATTTTGTAAGATATATGCACACTGCCTTCTTTATTTACACATAGTTTTAACATAAACGGGTTTGTCAAAGAATCCCGCAAAAGTTTTTGTGCAATTATACAAAGACAATCATTCACATCAGGCTCAGTGAATATGAACTCCATATCCGACAGTTCAACCTATAATACGCCGGGATATTTAGCGAGTTGCGTTAGAAAACGTTCGAAGAAATAACAAACGAATGTTTCAAACATTCGAAACCAATTATTTGAGAGAAGAATGTCAAGGTTTACTTATTACTCGTTCTGCGAATCAAAACACTTAAGACTGTGACAATTAACGAGTTTTTTGATTCCCTCTCTTATGACTGAATTTCCTTTGTAGTACAGCACAGGATTCATACTCGAACAAAGACTTGCCACTGGAAAGTAAAAGGGCTCTACAAATAGAACGAATTCCCTTTGAAGTACGTTTGATAAACCCACTAAAATGGCAATAGGTATGATGCATAACCCCAGAAGACTAACCACGTGACGAGTAGTCGCCGCCAACTGCCGTTCGATTTCTTGAGAAGCTAAATTTGGATTCACCCGAGAGCTTTCTTCCATTTTCTGTGCAACGGCATTGTTGTGCTTGCGGAGAGCAGCCAGAGTACACAACTGGATGGCAATTACAATCGTGGAGAAGCAAATGACGTATCCGCCTTCAAATGTCTCAACAACCCTCCTAGGAAACAACTTTACCTGCCTCAGAACAACTAAAAAAATGGACGTCACCCACACCGCAAAAGAAGCAGTAATGGCGTACTGCATCTTCATGGCAGCTTTGTACCACCATGGTTTAATGACGGCTAAGTATCTATCCACACTCATGACTCCAAGGGTTCCCACCATAGCAAACAGGCATAAAAAGAAAGAAACCACCATAACAGGCGAGTCCCAATCACTGCGATTGAAACACGCTTCACCGGCGATCAGCTCCTCGATTCTGAATCTAATGTACAACGGTGTTACTACCCCACCCCACAGAACGTCAGTCAACGTCAAGCTGCAAAGATACAGAAACCCCGGGCGGAATCGAAGTCCACCCCTCAGAATTGTGACCAGGACCAACCCGTTTGACAGGAAACACCACAGACCTAATATGGTTGTGGCAGGGGTAAGCACCAAGCTAGAATAATGACTAAATTGGGATTGGACAGAACGTGGAAATTCAGAGATGAAGCACGGTCGCCCCTCTTGCAACGCTTCGTACTGTGTGTCATTTGTAGTCAAGTTTGGCTCCATGTTAGCTCGCTTAATCCTAAAAAAATAGGAAAGAAATGGTTCTTACATGTCCATCCTAAAATGAAGTAAGTTTGACGTTTTAGATGTACCGTTGAAGCGTTGAAGCTCCCTAAGCATTTTATCTAAGGTATGCATAGTCTTGAACCTCTTACATGTGTTAAGATAATTTATGGCTATCTGAGATTGGCTATAAAAACCAATTTTAGTGGACACAAGTTTGAACTGAACGAACCACGGACTACTTGTTTAACGTCAGGGACTGATAGGTAATCGGGAAAATACGGTAGTTCGGAAAATTATCTCATCGTTGAAAATGTTTTACTGTGCTTCACATTTGACTTGTGAAGGTAAACACAAAAGGTAAACGCAAATGGTTTTCACCGTTTTAATTTGCTTGCTTTCGTAGACAAAAAATATAAGGCTAATGACCATTTCCGTGGAACGTTCCGAATGGCAAAATACCGACTAATTAAGAAACAATCAGAAGGCTCGGATCTACCTCGGGACTTCCTTGCCATATAATAATGAACGATAATTTTAGGAAATGTTGACAAAACACCCAAGGCTTAGTTCACAAAGATTGTTTTTATGTGGAAGGAAAATAGAATACTAAATTACATAATAATGTTTAACCTCGACTTTATATTACCCTTGAGAAGTCTGGTAAAGTCTTGCCTTTTCTTAGCCATGAAGAAGTCCCTAGAAGTCCCTACCTATTTTTTGTTCAATTTCCAGTGAAATATGTCTCATTTAGATGAATTAGATATGATTTTAAGAACGCAGATAAGAAAAAATTTTCAGCCTCAGCGAAATCAGCTTAGCGGAGTTGACGATGTTGACGAATTTTAGTCAAATCCGTCTAAGTGAAGTCAGCTTGGCAGATTTGACAATTTTGACGAATTTTCGCCATTTTCGTTACTGCATGCACTTCTGGACATATCTCCTTAACTCGGCAGGAAAGTGCGTATAATAAGCGAGAGTATCCAAAAGAGGCACCCATGATAAGAGCATTTAAAACCTTTAGCACGCAGCGGTGATTAGAAACTGTTTGCGGTGCTCGATTTGACTAATGCGCTTTTATGTGAACCTTACCCCTCTGTTATCGACTATATTCCAGGCAGCTGAATTTGCTGCTAAACGGAGCGATTCAATTTTTGTACATGCCCACCAGTTTTAAGCATCTGCACATGCAAATCGATTACTATGGTTAACTGAAGGTTAAATTTCTCACAAATTGCCTTCCGATTTCACTAATTTGACGATTTTATCGCGACCCAAACATGCGATGATCGCTTCATGGCACTAGGCAAATTAATGATTAGGACTGATTCTTGAAAAGTCCTTTGGAAGGAAAAACGCGAATATAGCCGACGAATATGGTACATAGAATGTGTTATGAAGGTCGTTGGAAATTCCGGGCACTTTAACTGCATGACCTGTAAACACCTTCTTTCCTTAGTTGTGGTATCTTTATCAAAACTCTTCTCTAGCGAAAATTCAACCACAATGCTTGTTCAATAACGACTGCGAAAACGCGACGAGATTACATTTTTTTTCGTGAATAATGTATCCGCAACTATGCAGCTTGAATCATAGGAGAAGAATTCTTGTTACCTGAAAAGAGGTGACCTGTACCATCTTTATCTGTTTGGCGTCGCTTTTTACTAAACAAGTCCCATATCATTTAACTACGCCCAGTCAACTGGCCCATTTATTTATACCTAAAAATTTATCACATTTCGTGGCGGCAAGAAATGTTAAATTGTCAAAAGCAACAATGCACTCGATTAATCGGAAAACAGTTTTCTCCAAAAGTTTTATCATTACAATCTCAGCAGCTGGAGGCTCTTTAAAATCGCCCCACGCTCCTTAATCAAGTAACAAAAAACAGCAGTTGGTAATTTGAAGTCTGGAGATCCTTTTAATCATACGTACTAATTTTGGAGAGCCAAACAATAATAATAATAATAAAAAAACCTAGGTGGGTGGCAAAATATACTTTGGCAGACGTTTTTTTGATGTTCGCTCGGTGCTAATAACGCATTTTAAACTAACGTACTTAAAAATAGAAAGAAACGGATATGTTGACTGCAACAATCAAACATAATTTTTTTAGGGATGGACTGGCAGGAATAGTAAGTTTTAGAGCCTCGCTTAAGCTAAAGCTAGTTTCTTGCTACTCTTCTAAGATATTGGTTTGTCCATCACAAGTTTCTGCCTTCCCCTACCCCCCTCCCCTCCTGCTCAACTGCTGCGTCTAGAGTCCATTTGCACGCAGAAGGAAGATATTGCCCTGCCCAAAAACAGAACAGGAGTTTGACCCCAGCCACAAAATCTCTCGATCCGAATTTCAGCGTACTTAAGTGAGACCATCGTTTCTCAAATTTATTTTCCTATATTGAGAAGGTGCCAGAATTTTGCAATACTATGGTCGGTAAGAGAGCCGGAAGGCTTTCAAGTCCCTTAACATTGATAAAAACTTCGCCAAATATCCGAATAATAAAACTTCGCCAAATATCCGAATAATTATGCTTTGCAAAAGGTATTTATCAAAGTGGTGAGGCTTTTCGTGGGGTGTATCTGAGTTTTAATTTTTTTCTTGCACCTTAAGATGCATTTAACGCGTAAGATGGATTAAGCGGTCTATGCTTAAAAGTGGTTTTAAAAATTCACCAATTATTTCTTCTTAAATCTCACGAAACTAATCCGTTCAAGTCTTTTCATTTTCTCTGCATGCATTTAAAAATTAAAAATTAGTTATAACTACAGCTTGCTAAGTCGCTCGCCGACACAGAAAAATCTCCAGGTTGAAAGATATTGGCATGAAAATTTCACGATAAAACAAACTCAAACGAAAGAGAAGATACAATCCAAAAATGCTTCGACTTCGCGCGCAAGGACACATTTGTGGACATGTTCGAGCGTGAAATAACTAGCAATATATAAAATAAGCAATATATAAAACTGCCTTTTAATTAAACGAAAGTGATCATGAAGTCCCAATCTTCAAATAATTATGGCCGCCACACTTTCTTTGTAAGCTGTTTTACCCTAAAATGTATTTGCACTTAGTACAAACGCGGTTCTATTTCTCTTCTTATGGAAATCGACCAGCCAAGTCTGATCGCATGTAAAATTAAAAGAATTATAACAATTAAGTTCGGCTTCCGATCTTTGAGCCACTTTTTCAGTTTCGCAACTTTGAATCATTACCAAGAGAAAATAATGAGCTATTAATCTCTCTTGTCATTACTTGGAAATCGCAATCATTGTTTTAAACTAAACTCACAATCTAAATAAAAATAGCTTTGTTGTTTTCACTAATGTCATCATTCAGAAAAGTTCTTTTAAGAAACGAAAAGTGAGAAATATAGACCTAACTAGAATATCAGTGTGTAGAGCTGATTGAAATCACTCAGCACGATGACAATGGCCGCAAGTTTTTTATAGACAACATTTGCATTAGCTAACATTAAGCCCGAACTATTTCATAATTTTCGCCTGACTCAAACTCCAATTTTCTCGATGATGATGCTAAAAACATAATCGAAAAGTCGAAACGCTTTCTTCTTCGTATTTCAATTAAATTGCTTTTCAAAATCTTTGACTCACGCATTATACGCTTTGATTTATTTGCTCGGTAGTTGATGTAAATCTTTCATTACATGCGCAATACTGTCATTATAAAATCTTCTGATTCGAAGCGCCAGGAGCCCATCTGCGAGAATTACGGGTAATCGACAGATTTAACAAAGCCACAAAAAACAAAAAGAAAACAGAAATTCTATAAAAATTACTATAATGCTATGAAAGGCGTTCGTTTTATCTGTTCACCATCCAGTTCTTGAAGATTCGTTAGAAGTGATTTAACCGTATCTCCATAACCTGGCAACAGACAACATGGATTTCCTCGTAAATCGAGCTTCCGTAGCGATGTGCAGTGCTCGAGACTTCTTAGACAATCTAAATTTGTAATATCTGGAATTCTTATCAAGGAAATCTTATCACAAAATTGCCGTTTAGCCTCCAACAAGATAATTTTCCTCGAAGCACTTGCCAACTAAAAGAAATAAGCGACTACTCTAGAGTCACTTGAGTGTTCAGATCTTCTTATGAACCCGCAAACTTCGCGAGAAGCCCGCGAGATTCTGTTACAGCAGCATCAGGCTGCTACTCTAACAAGTTATTCTAGACCCAGACCTTCTGGGTCAGGTCTACATAAAACAAACAAGGCTTCAGAAACAGGGAGCCATGTGCGTACCTCATGGCACTTGATGGTACATTTTTAAAACAGAAAAAGGATACTGTTATTTGAAAGAGACAGCTCCTCTAGAAGAAAAAGTTTCAACGCATGCCGTCTAGTGATGAACCGCAGGTTATTATTACTGACGTCCATGGTGCGCACGCATTGTAACATGTTACACTCGTCGAGGGAGGTAAGCTGGTTGTGACACAAGTTGACGTTTTTCATAAGCACTAGCTGATCCATATGGGACAAAGACGTCAAGTCCTGCAAGTAAATATATGTCAGTGATAAAAGCTTAAAATCTAAAATGCGCAGAGGATGCAGCTATTGGAAAATTTTAATTCTGTTAACTCCTTGGTAACTTAAACCATTCGCACTCCTTATTGGTCACCTGCAAATTCTCTCTCTTACTTACATCTTACGTCTATCAAAGAACAGTGTCAGAGCGTATTCGAGTGAGTATCGTAACCCAAAAAAGTACAATAGTTACAACAGCCTCAAAGTAAAAACAAGGGAATTTCCGAAGCACGGAAAAACGTGAATGATCAAATCCCGAATAAATGTAGTGTTCCACTGTTTGGTCGGGACGGTGGTGCAAGTTTTTTGGACCCATCACAGAATGAAGTACAGCAAAAGTTACTTCACATTAGGTCGCCATTCAAATATGAATTATTCTGAAGTCTGAGATTTTAGTATCACCTTAGAAGTTTTACAAGTTGTATAATAGATAGTATAGGCACCCTTGGTACCGTAAATGTCTGAGTTGCGACAGATATTTATTTCACACCCGATATCAAAAGTAAGTCGAGTTGTAAAGATAATTGGAAAAGTGAAAAAAAAGTGTCGAGTACCTACCATGTTGGAAAGGTCAATTTCCCTCCTTGTCTCTTCCTAAGAAGAACAAAAAAAAAAAAACGTCATCTGAGATAGATTTAGAATGAATTTGTAAGCAAATGTGTCAATTAAAAATATTTCAGTAAGTTTCTCTCGCAATAACGTCGTTGCAGAAGCTAAAGCTATTTATAAAATTTCACGAACCTTATTTGAGCGGTGTCTCTCAATGGCGTTTTCTAATTTGAATTTCCTTTCTAAAGGTTGGGAGAAATAAAATCTATAGGTGAGTTTAAGTCTACGGATGGACCGTTAATCGTTCAGTCAGTTAGTCAGTCAATCGACCGATCAACAATCAATCAGGTAGGGAAAAATAGTTAGTCAGACAGAGCTCAGTAAGCTTTTCATTCAGCCATACAGTCAGTCGATTAATCGACCCAGATAGTCCGTCGGTCGCCGACTGATTCAATTAGTCTGCAGTAGAGTCAGACTGTTAGTGATCCAGTAAATTCAATAATTCAGTCAGTTATTATGTTCAGTCTAATCGAGTTTTCAATCGGTCAGTGAGTCAGTCCGTTCATCAGTCAGACAGCGGATTATTCAGTCAGTCAGTCCATCTTTCCGTTCTTCCTTCCGGTTGTCAATCGTGTCGGTCACTTACTCAGTCACTAAGTCAATCAGTGGATCTGTCAGTTAGTCACTCCGCCATTATTTCCGCTCAGTAATTTGGTCAGCCTTACAATCTAGTCAGTGAATTGATCATTCAGCTAATCATCCATAATTTAGTAGATCGATCGATCGATCGGTCGGTCGGTTTCTTTGTCAGTCAGTCAGTCAGTCAGTCAGTCAGTAGGTGAATCCGATCATTAAGTCAGCCAGTCAGTCAGACAGCCAGGGAGTCAGACGGACAAGAAGTCACTGACCAGTGCCTCAAGTAATTTGTAGCGTGGGATGATACTTACTAAGATCTTTGTAATACCCCTGCCTGTAGCAATCCACCTGAGAAAGTTTTTCTAAATACAACTCTGTTTCCTTTTCGTGTGAAAGCGGGTCCAATGCACGCATTAACAAAACCATTGTTAACATCGTCCCTACAAACATATCAAGTTTAGCCGCTTTGTTTTTCAGTGAGCATTGGTTATGGATTAAACCCTTCGAGTGCACATTGCGACAA